ACAACAAAATACAATAGTCAAAACATAAAATCAACGAGGAGAATAAGAATTACAATAGTACAGGAGGGAGGTAGATGTCAACTAGAACCTGACACCACACCACCACCCCTAAATCTCGATGCTTGCCAGCCAAGCTAAAAACTACATTTACAGAAGGCGAACTTCCCACACTGGGTTAGAACATTATGGATTATCGTTGAATAGGACAAAATAAAAGACTGACCTATTACACGGGAATCTAATGCGCGAATTTTCTGGGTTCTTGTATAAAATTAAAGGAAGTTGAAAATCATACAAAATCTGAGCTCTCAAGTATAAACATGAAATAAAATACCCACTTAGTCTTGAACTCTTAATATACATTGTGCGCTAGTTACGTCATTTGACTAGCGAGAGGTGTACGAACTAAAGACAGGACTGCCAACAGCCATTACTGATTAGCCGACAGTATCTCAGCTTGCTAATTAATTGCATTATTATTCCAGTAAGAGAACCAGGAAAGAAAGTTTTGGTCCTATATTTGTTTAGAAGTGTCTCTGTAATCATAATTATATGCCGCTTGGTAGCTAGGCCACCTTGGATGTTGACGTGAAGTACTGTGAACTTGGGTATGCTGTTATTAGCCTCGAAATAGCAGCTCACATAACTGAAGGTTTCTGAGTTTTTCAAGTACAAACTTTTGTCTCATAGCTCCGTCATCTCTTGACCAATTTAATATCTAAATTCAGTTTTGGACTCGGGGAGTGAAACCCTTTCGATTGATGTATTAAGACTACACCCAAAGTCTCATAGATTAATTTACTCTGATCCTGCCTAAAATAATTTCAATTTGAGGGTAGGCTGGTAGAGATACTGACGAGCAATAAAATCGAATCGGATACATGCGCGCCCCACGCTTGGTACTGCTGGCGCACAAAAATATAGCTAATAAAAAGGGAAAAAATGGTCTCAGATTAATTTACTCTAATTCTGCCTAAAAGAATGTCGAATGGCGCGGCTCTCGAGGATTCCATCTTGTTTTTGATATTATAATGGGTAGTTTTGCTGTTCGGTGTTTCTTGACGATTTTTATCAGGATTATGATGAAATCATTTTTATTCAGGATAACTGATTTCTGTGATAAATTAAGACATGTTTTTTTTGTTTTTTTAAATGACCACGAAGTGATTGGTCTTTTGTTCTTGGACGTCCTTTGAAGTTTTTTTTTTTTCTGAGGTTGTTTTATTTTATTTTGTTCCTTTGTTGGCATGTTAGAGACTACTGTGGCATATGTTTTTGTGTGTTCTATATTTTCAGGTGTGGGAAGGAGATGCGTCTTCGTTTATGGTAGAGTTGTTTGTGTGCGTGGTATATCTCGTGTCTGTTCTTCCTTTTGTTGCTCTTGTGTGTTATTTCTTATATTAAATATGTTTGTTTTGATCGACTTGTCTTTATTGCATCCCATGTAGTTTTCACAGTAATCTTCGTTACAGCTACAACACTTTAGTTATTAATGTGTTCTAGAACATTGTTTTACGTTGTGGTTTAGGTCACAAGCAACACATCTTGGCTTGACTCACAAGCCGTTGCTATGTGACCGTAACGTTAGCGATTGTAGCGTTGGTTTACTGTGATTGCTGGTATTTTTGCCTCATCTGCAGGGTTTCTTTGGCACCATAATATGGTACCATTGTTAATTTGCGTATGTTTTTGGCTTATACCTTTATTAGGTATATACGAGTGTTTGTGTTGTTGTGAAGTGATCATTTCAACTATGGTGTATGGAATGTTGATGTCGGTCAATGCCTCTTTGACCTGCTAAGTGTCTATAGTCTAGTGGTTGCCTCTGATAACAAAGGCCTTAGTTTGGGGCTGTTTAGGGAAGGGTGTGTGTTTTAATACTTCCTTGTTGGAAGGCGTCCTTGGACCATTTTTGCAGAAGGTCGTTAAGATCCTTGGGGTCAATGCCTGTTGCTAGCACCCGCCCTTAGCTAGTTGTTTATTATATATAATGTTGACATTCGGTTTATATCTTTATATTTATTTTGACAGTTGTGGTTCTCTGTATGAGCTAGGAATGTCCTCAGTTATGATTGCATGTTTCGGTGATGTTGAGTGTCTGTCTTGGCGTTTAGTAAGTTTATATGTGAATGTTAATTTTGGTTGTTGTTTGTAATTATTCGTGTTACTGTGATAAATCCAGTATTTTCTTCGGTTGTGTTGTCTTTTGGTTTTGTGTTTGTGAATCTTCAGCATCTTGCGTTTTGTTCTCCACGTCAACTTCTAGTAAAACTTCGTTGTCCTTATATTCCAAGTTATCTTCTGAAAAATCGCTTTACACCTTTACGTCGTCAGATAATACAATTAGTTGTAAATTCACAAACACAAATCTCTCAGAACACAACTACAATAACCATACTAACTAATACATAATCAGACAAAATAAACGGGCATGGCCCTGAAAAGGAATTAGCAACAGGAAACCAAAAGAAACCCAACCAGCTTACCTGATAACCAAACAGACGATCTACAATTAATAATAGTTCAGGAGGGGGAAAGAGGTCAAACTAGCACCTGACCCTCCCAGGTCTCCAAAGACCTAAATTCCGATGAGATGAGATATACTGTTGCTAATAATATTGAAATCTGATCTTGTAGAACATTTTACCATTGTATATCGCATTATTTCATCTCGTGCGCCAACCAATTTTAACCACAAGATCACTTTAAAACATGGCTCTTCATTTTTTATTTCGCTAACTTGATCCATCTCTGATAAACATTCAAATTGTCGTGTAAACATCGATCTAGACGACTTTAATTACAACGTCTCCTCAATTTGTCTGTTATTCGTTTGATTAAAAACAATTCAAAGGTAAGGAAATAAAGCTGGAGATACTGCAGACATTATTCACTCAAACTACAAACCGCTATTTTGGTTCCATGCTAGTAGCTAACTGATACGGTTCCTGATGATTTACTGTAGCTATTGAATATTTGATCGCATTAGTTCGAAATGTAAAATTTTCAGCTGCAGCTTGAAATTGTCATGGAGATTTGTTTGAGAGTATAGTGAGCATTTATAGTTTGTGTGTAAATACAGTCTCTATATATAATGCATAGCAATGGTTTGTTTGTATTTAAGCACAAAGCTACACAATGGGCTATCTGTGCTCTGCCCACCACGGGTATCGAAACCCGGATTCTAGCGTTGTAAGTCCGCAGATATACCGCTGTGCCCCTAGACTAAGACACAACCCCCACTAAGCGCGTATAAAATTTTACCCGTAGAAAAACAGCCTTTTCAAATAAAACATATACGTCTCAAACATCGCTTTAAATGAACCTTCTTTTAAAGTAATTATTCTACGAATAAGTGTAATAAAATTTAAAATTATGTGTATTTTATTATTTTTTTACTCCTTCATTTCATACATAATATAGAAGTTATCTCTCTAAAGACACCGATTGTATAGTGTGCAAAACATGTTACAGTTTTCTAATGTTCATCTATTACTGGCTGATAATCCTTGTTTCACTCTGTACTTAAGCTTCTTAAAGGAACATCAGATATTTGTAAGAAAGCTAACTTCAAGGGGTAATGATAACATCGTTTCCACTAGAATTATAATGGTATTTAGCTCATGTAAAATATAAAAGAACAAATCGACTTTTCAATACCCCTACGGCCTCTGCAGTACATTACTTGGTATTCTACAAAAGTTTGGGTATAGTATACCAAACCGTTTTTGTTATAGGCTGGCAAGAGAATAATAATAAGAAGAAGAATTATAAACGGGCCGTTTTGAGCGGATTTCCTTTTCCTTGTAAGTCTAATACGCGTGCTTTTTAGTGATTTTTATACGTGTAGAGCCTTAGCAGTCAATAGTAAAGGTTTTAAAGCGTTGTTTGTTTGAAGTTTAGCACAAAGCTGCAGAATGGGCTATCAGAATGGCCCACCACGGGTATCGAAACCCAGTTTCTAGCGTTATAAGTCCGCAGACATACCGCTGTAACACTGGTGGGGGGGGGGGGGGCATGTCGTGGTTCATGATAGGCTATCGTGTATCAAATGCCAAAAGTTCATATTTTCAGTTCATTAGTTACTAAATACAAGACCATATTTGGCAGGCTTCTGAAGATATACTAACGACATCTAAAATACAGTATGCCGATTTTAAGTGGTATCACATAGAACATATTAAGGCGATACATCACAATCCGAAAGTTATGAATTTTTCTGAAGCAGTGAAACCAAGTTTTTATAAAGAAGAACGAATTTGAATCTCGCCTGTCGTAAATTTTCTGATTACTTTAAGTTTTGAATGCATATATACTGTTAATGAAACAAGACCTAGAAGCTAGTGATGGCAATGTGGAATTTATATACCTTAAAGATAATTAACTCACCTTGACCACAGCGATATCAGGCAATACAGTATATTCAGAGAAGGTACTAGTCCCCGAGAAGTGGTGAATTACCTTTCCTTTACAAGTAAATCGGCTAGTTCCATCAGGCATCAACCCACGTGCTTGAGTGTCTCTAGAACACAGAAAAATATAATCAATCAATCTATCAGTTATAAAATTTAACTGAACATTTTCATCACCACATTTTTGAAAAAGGGACTTCGTTTTTAAACTTTTAATAATTACTCTAAGCACTAATTGGATCTCGAATCATTGGTGTTTGTTCTAAAAATCAATGAAAATAAAGCATCTAAATATGTTTAGTTTCATATAATTCAAACTTCTTCAAAAATTATTTTAAGTTCCTTTTTCTTGTTGTTGTTATAGGAGGCTCACATCCTAAACAATAATTTAATTATTCTTTACGTAAATGGTACATTTTTGACCATTTCAACACTAAGATTCAATAATAGTTCATTGTGTTTAACATTATTTAACTTAAACAAACTCTTATGTGGTTTCCAGCTTTCTAGTCTACAACTAATTTTATGTGCTAAAAGATATCTGGCAGTCAATCTGTTTTTTACAGTATTCTATTTGCTAAATAGCCATTATCCCAAGTAAGGCAGAGGGCTCGGTCTGTATGTTAACGAAATTTGACAGATTATCAGTTAACAGTACAATGCTTTCATAAACAAAATATTAATTCTTAAGGCTATCCAACATGCAAAGTAATTTTCATTTTAAGATCAAAAATATTTTTATGCATCAGAATACTTTTAAATTACACATGCGAAATCTTTATAATGTCCAGATAGTTATCAAATGTTTCTTAAGGAAAAACTTTATATTTTATCTGTTATTTTCACTAATGAATCTCGATAGGTTCGATAGATTTCACCGATCTCGTAACCAACATAAAAAAAATAGGAAATTATAGTGGAATTCTATGGTATCAATAGGGTAATTTATGATTTTTTTTTATTCAACTGTATATATAAAACCTAAAAAAAAATTATTTTATTTCATATCTTCCACGTGCGAAATTATAAAAGGCTTAGCAACCTACATCAAGCAGCAACTGAGTACAAAGGTCGAAACTAGAAGAGATAATTGTTTGCTTCTATGTTTTAAGAAAATTAAGTTTAA